ATATATATATATAATATATATATATATATATATATATATATATATATATATATATATATATATATATATATATATATATATATATATATATGGTGTATAAAAAAAGGTAATCGAACTTCAGTGCGCTATTAGCAGTACAAGTAATAGAGGTGATATTTTGACATGTTTTGACATAATATTGCAAACAGAGCATGCTCGATAGAAATTGAACACAATCAAGCCGATGAGGCGACTCATGGACAAGAACAAATGAAAGTGAACGAAAGAATTAGAGCAGTTTGCAGTTGATTTTGCAAACCGGGCGCCGTGCGAATTTTACCATTTCACCCATTTCTCGTGCTTCGTTTGCCAAGTCAAAGAACGAACGCGTGCTCCAGCCCGATTTCCGGTTCTGAAAGGGTCGATTCGCAGCCCGATTTGATGCTTCGCAGCATCCGTGAGTCTCAAACGGCAGAGCCTTATTTTCTTCCTGCAGAAGGGAGATCAACCTCTGCTCTCAGGGTAACTGAACAGATGCATCAACTTTTAAAATAGTTTGATCATGTTACAAGTATGTTCTTTAAAATGTATGTATGAATATCTGAAATTATGAATGGGGACAGTAGTCAGTGCCATTTTTTCCCGTGCCATTTTTTCCGTATTAGTCAATTTCCTGCCGCCATTTTTTCCAGTGTCATATTTCCTGTGCCTTTATTTACGAGCACCGTCGCTTTGCTATATTTTTAGTTAAAACTACAATTGATGATTCCCCTTATTACGTTTTCGTAGCGCTTTGCATCGTGGTTATAGTGGTATCACTGATAAAGATACGGCCACGAGTGGAAATATTGAATTTTTTCGCGAATATTTTGCTTGCACCTGACCCTAGCTCTTTTTAAATGTTCTTGCACGGGTCAGGACAAAAAATAAGCCATCTTTAATATCAGTAATACCACTATAACCACGATGCAAAGCGCTACGAAAACGTAATAAGGGGAAAGGTCTATTGTCTCCAACATTTTTATGTATATTATTAATACGTAATTGGCTCGTTTCGAGTGCAATTTGGATAAAACAAGCATAATATCTACGCCCCCCTTGGAAATCAGCAATATATCGCTTTAGGGGTCAGCGTAATAAAACAAAATAAAGTTTTTACCTTCCTGCCTTACGTACTGGTGAGTTTTGAAAGACCTCAAATAGCACGAATTCATTTTGATGCTCTTCGAAAAACTCACTCGTGCACTTTTATCCAAATTGCGCTCGAAACCATCGTGTTATACCCATGCTAATTACGATGAATAAATTAACCTTGTCCAGTAAATTGGCTCCATCAGCAACGTGTAAAAGAACAAAAATCTGTGACACAAGTCTATAGTAAAGTGGGGCCTCAACAGTAGGATTTGCAGGTTTGATAGACAAGGTGATAAAATATTTTCCGTCGGAAGCGCTTGTATTACTGCAGGAAAGGATGTAGACAAGACAAAGAATTATTTGTATGCAAGTGAGCAACATTGTGAGAGTAAGCTTTCTTCGATACAGAGATCATATTTTTGGGAAGCGCAAAGTCCATGCGGAAATGGCAAACATGAGGAGCCCAGAAGATTACCATGCTCATTTTGACCCAAAAACGTTCCTCGAACAGTTTTATAAAAACTTCAAAGTATCTGTGTCGCCGATTATTGAAGCATTGCATGAGTTTTGGTCCAACTTTAAGGCGCCAACCGACACGGAACCGACGAAAGTTCGATATCTCGAGTTTGGTGGTGGACCTTCCATAATGAGCGTTATTTTTGCCTCTCGACATGTGGATCATATTGTCTTTTCGGAGTATACAGAAGCAAATAGACAAGCCGTGAAGTCGTGGATTGCTGGCGACCCAGACGCCCACGACTGGATGCCTTTAATTGAAATCGTTGTTCTTGAACTCGAACAAGGACGTGGTATTGTAGACGAGAGTGGTGAATCTTCCGCAGACAAAGAGAAGCTCGAGCGTGTATTAAATGCCGCAGCTAATGAAGTGAAACGAAAAATAAAATCTATTGTCCCATGTGATGTGAACAAAGCACCAATAGTTCAACTTGATGGTGTTGATGTTGCCAAGCCATTTGATGTTGTGTCCACCAGTTTGTGCCTAGAGTCATGTGTGTCGTCTGAGGCGCACTACAAGAGTAGCGTCGCAGAACTTTGCAAATTTCTCAAACCAAATGGCTACCTATTTATGAATGGTGTGCTGGAGGAAACGTATTATTATGTGGGCGAAGAAAAGTTTTACAACTTTCCCCTAACTGAGAAAATGGTGAAAGCAGCAATGATCGAAGCAGGAATAGAAATTGAGAAATTTGTAGCAATTTCAGACATTCCAGTAGACTACGCAGAACCTTGCGACGCTACAGGTTTATTTTATACTTATGGCAGAAAATCTGTGGAAAAGTGACAGTCAACGCAAACAGTTATTACTTGAATTTATAATTTCATAATTATATTTACAGTATTTTCCTAAACGATTAATACATGATGTAGATCGTAGCATGCAGTAGTTTTTATTGAATAAAATATATACTTTCAAAATGTTGCCAAGTTTGGTAGTTGCATGCTTTCCATGACCATGTAGCGAAGGAAATTTTGGGGAAGCGTAACTATTTTAATACCGGTAATTTATTTTGTCTGCTAACGATTCCTTCTACAACAGAAGGTTCTGCTAAAGTGCATGGAAAGCCTAAACCCGCCTTACAGTATATAACCCGCTCGCAGCCCCGATCCAAATTTCCGATTTCCCTTTGAACGACATTTCGGGCTGCGAGCAGGCTACGGCAGTATGGGAATACTCAACAGTAAAGCACGGTAACCTTGACACCTCACGTGTATATATATTTTACTAGCATGCTACTTTAACTTTTCAAAATAGCTATTTTAATACAGCTACTAGAACATATAACTTCTTGCCTCCATATATCCGTGACCCTGACCTATGCCCTGACGTCTCCATGATATTGGCCATTTCAAGTCATACTTGCTGATTTATTATCACAAAATAACTGAACTTATATTACTTACATTAATGCCACAATCATTTAAAACTGAAATTACGGTTGCCATTGAGTAAATTTCAAAAGAACAAAACAATTATATAGACACTCCGAAAATAGTTAACATTTTAATCAACGTTTCGACTAGGTTTCATGCAGTGATAGTGTCCAATGTTTTGTTCATTTAAAACTGTTTGTGTTATGTAGATATAAAATGTTGTAATTGATGTAAATGTTTAGTTTAAAGATGCTGTGAAGTCCGTAATGTATAAAACAAACGTGTTTACATTTTGAACAGCTTTGTTTGTAAAATATGATATACTAACTGAATATCTAACACATTCTGATTTATTTTGACCGCGTTTTTTGTTCGCTTTGGTGCTTAATTTTTCGTTTAACGTCGCTTCATTTTTTCGTTCTTGAGTCAAGTGAATCGTTATATTGGTTATGCATCACAATTTAAAATAGCAAATTAGCAAAATTTTTCTTTACTTGCATTTATCGTTTGACGCATGGACGCTAAGCACTTCAGGATATTGTGTAAATGATCATGAGCCGTAACCAAACTTCATAAATTCCTGTATGTTTTAGGATAAGCCAGCTGTTCGTGCCGAAGCGTTTACGTTGTTTGGAAATCTATCAAGATTTGGTAACGGTCCATCAAAAGGTCCTTTCTTGGAGCAAATCCACGCAAACTTTGTCAGTTTGTTGATACATATGAATGAAGAACCGGAAGTTACTAAGGTTTGCTTTTCAAAAAAAAGTTCTGATATATTATTTGTATTTTTTGCATGGCTGTAAATATAGCATGATGATGTTATAAATGCTCTTTGTTAAGCAAAATTTCAAAATTATTATTAATTAGTAACAAACTAATTCCATCACATACGCGGTTTTCATGGACGTCCTGCAAATAAATTACATTATTATATATCAATAGTCAAAGTCGCATTTTTCTAGTGTTTTATTGGTTGAGAGCATATCACGTGAGAGTGATGAAATTAGGCTGTCTCCCTCGCAACAGCGCGAGAGGGAGATAATACGTTATCGACCGGCGAATAACAAAAAAAAGTCACGTGCGCCATCACGTGAAGATGCGACCTTTGGACATGCCTAGTACGTAATTAAAACTTTCGCTTTAAGTAACTGCACTGTAGCCAGTGTTTAATATTTAACAAATATAAAACATTTTCCGTGTTGATATACAGTTATATCAACACGAGTGGAAATTGGGAAAACGAGAAATTGTGTGGAAACACGACGCCCGAAGGGCGGAGTGTTTTCACACAATCTCGAGTTTTCCCAACTTCCACGAGTGTTGATATAACTATATATAGTGTTTTATATTTGTTTTATAATATAGCAATGTCAAAAGCCCGAAGAATAAGAAAAATTTCCGTGTTACAAGCGGCGGAAAATTTCCCGTGTTGACATGGAGTTATATCAACACGGCTCTTAGCCAATCAGCGTTCAGAATTTACAAATGCTATATTATAAAACGTTTTAACAATAAAATATTTCATGTATGTACGTTCATTTGTTCTTTAATTTGTTGTTTCTTTGACTATTGATATATAATAAAACACTTATTTACTGAGACCTCGGGAAAGCAGTGTGTTTTGTGGACCCTCGACCGTCGATGTTTCCCTCGGCTTCGCCTCGGGAAACATCGACGGTCTCGGGTCCACAAAACACACTGTTTCCCTCGGTCTCAGTAAATAAGTGATAAATAGCTACAGTAGCTAATATATTATAATATATACTAAAATATTACAATGTAAAATAAGTCTCTATACTATAGTTCAAAGTCCAATCTAAAATTATTTATTTACAAAGTGTTCTTGTCATAATGTTTAAAAGTAAAAAGACAATTGTTTCTCAAGTAGAATTGGGTGGCATATAGAGACCTTTGTTGGCCATAGCTAAGTGGTACAGAGCGAGTCCACGTGGTAAGCCTATAGACATATTCTGCTTGACAATTACACCAAGATGTTTAAATGTTTCTGCGGTTTCGATAGCTTGTTGATCAAGCAGTATGTTAACTTGCAAATTGCATGATGGTAGGTCGTTCATATATTAGTGTAGTGTAATTTCAATCTTATAAGGGAAAGTACAGCATTAATATTTCAGCAACTTCAATTTTTTCTTTAGGCGTGTAAATGTGCCTTGCGCAAGCTGTCACCTCTAATGGGCTCTGAATCTATCAGTGATATGTTTCAAAAACATCTACTAGAAAACGCAAATCTTCATTACGGCGAGTTTATGAAGGATTTATCAAGACTCATAGTAAGTAAAAATTATTTTGACTTTGGAAAGAACGCTCTGGGAGTTCTTTTGCGCAATTTTTAGTGTGAAGTTTCACTTCACACTGTTGTGATGGCTGGCGAATTCACACGAATCAGTCAGTCGGTCAGTTTTAAATCTTTATTGCCTCCAATTTCTGAAGAGTAGGTATATTTACAAAGGAAATATTAATAATAAAATAAAGATAGTGAAAAAACTATGAATTGTTACCTAACTAGCAAACTAAATTACTCCTATAACAAAAGGAAACATAACTTGCAGATTTCAGCAATAGCTCCGTCCATATGTCTGTGTTTGCACATAATACTTCTGACTTTTTACCTAATATAACTAAGAGAAATTCCATGTCTGTCAAACTTGCTAAATGTACTGCCATTTCGATTGGCATAGTATCGTTTATCCATTCCCATAGTTCTTCTCTTGATTGGCTTGTGCCATTACAATAAAGTAATGCATGCTTCACAGGATTTAAGAAATTGCTATTACAAACATTACAATAGTCTCTATAAGTTTCTGGTTTGTTCATCCGTTTTCCTTTAATTTTGAAAGATCCACAGAGTAGTCTTAGAACATCATTAATTTGTTTCATAAAGTCCGGTTTCATTCTAGATATTAACCACCATGGTGAAATTTCATTCACAGGATGAACTTCTGCATAAAGTTTTAGTTGACCATGCGTACTTATTTTTTCTTGCCAGATATTGTTATAGTACTCGTATATATGTTTTTTAACAATTTTCTTCCATGCAGATTTGCTTGGAAATTGATCGGATAACATATACCCTGTTAGAAAGTCCATGAGATCATATTTCAAAAGAATTCGTACAATGTTTGGAATGAATCCTTTTAAGGTGTTTGTATGGTTCCACTTCCAACGTATTAATCGCATGAGGAAGATCTTTCTGCACGGAACACCATGACTCATTAGTATAAGTCGTCCCAGAAAATACAATTTCCGTTTATCGACTTCAGCTTCGATTGGTGGTAAGCCCAGCAACCCTCGCGCAGCAGACCCTGATATTCCAGGTAATAACCCCTGCATAATACGCACCGTGATATTTTGCACTTTTTCCAGTTCAACGATGTCATTACAATTCAATTGCCAGAGCTCGGAACCGTACAACATCTTTGGGATACCAATCCGCTTCCATAACTGAACTGAAATTATAGGATTTAATCCTCCATATCGAGCTCCCATTTTCATTAAAACCATTCCGGATTCTCTTCCTCTGGTAACAGCTTTGGAAACGAATGCAGACGAATCCTTATTTACATGCCATATTTTTCCAAGATTGAACCAACATTCCTTTTCCAAAATAACTCGTGACCCAAGATGTCAATCTCTAATGCTGCGATTTACACTACGTTCCCGATCGCTTTCACCAAACGTTAAAACTACCGTTTTCGTGGCATTAAATGTAAATCTCCATTTGTTGCTGTATTCCGAAGGACATCGTAACATTTTGTCCAGTCCAGATTTCATACGTGATAGCATAGTTAGATCGTCCGCAAACATGGGTGATCCGAAATACACGGTGTTGATGCAAATTCCAGATTTAATATTGCTCAATTCTTCGATAAGGTTGTCTATGAATACCTGGAAAAGCCAGGGTGATAGAACCCCACCTTGTCTTGTACCTTGCCCTAGCTCGTATATACGAGATGATTTTCCTTCAACGATAACAAATTCTTTCATGTTCAAGTACCAATTTCGTATGAGCCGCCAAGTTTTACCAGTTACCCCTTTGGTGTAGTATAGCTTGTAAAGCATTCCATTAATCCACATAGTGTCAAAAGCTTTTGAGATGTCCATGTACAGGCTGCATAGACTTTATCATTGTCCTCGGAACAGTGATTTAGCACCTCTTGAATTGCAAAACATGTCCTGAGAGCATCTTGTTGTTTTTGATATCCACCCTGGAGCGGATGATGGAGACAATTTTGTTGCTTTTGTAATCGTGATAATACTATACGTTCCAAGATTTTATTAACACAGGGCAGTAGACTTATCCCTCGATGATCATCAAACATGTGTGTTTTCTTATTGCCCTTAGGAATTGGGATTTTAACTGCCAATTTAAATGAACTTGGAATCTCTTCTCTATCGATAATACAAGTGTAAAGATTTAATAATGCATGTATGATCATTTCTATCCACCAAATTTTAGGTGCTCATACGTGATTCCGTCATATCCGGGGGCTTTTCCGTTTGGTAGGCTTCTAATAACCTCCGAAATTTCCTGAGTTGTTAACGGTGCAGTAAATCTACAGCCTAGGGCATTCTCTGATTTTTTTACGAGATCATTTACTCCATTTTCAATTTCAATTCGGTGAATTCGATCGAAATTCTCATTATCTTCTGAAGGTGTTGCTAACTGTTCAAAATAATTTGCCCAAAGATCTGCCATTTGCTGTGAATCCGTGATAATTTTACCATTTACCTCTAATGCCATTTTTTTGTTCTTTTTGTTTTTCCTGCATGCCTTATTATTTAACAGTCTCCAAAATTTTTCATTATCTAAGTCTTGCAGATTACCGATGTCACTGAGTTCTTTCCTCTCATACTCCCACACGGCTTTCCTCTGCTCACGTCTGTATTCGCATTTTAGTTTTTTATACTTTATATAGAAAATATTACTACGTTGTCTTGGAGATCCTGCTTTTATCCAATCTGCTCTTGCAGCCATGACGGATTTTCTTAAATCTTTACGTTTTTTTGTTCCAGAATGGTTTTATATGCTTTTTTAAAATTCACTCTTGGTAACATTTGATCTGCGTTTCTAATAATTTCAATCAGTTCCTCATAAATAACGTTTGCATCACATAAATAAATCTACAAGTATGATTGCTAAATTAAGACATTATACAAATAAAAACACTTTGAAATTGATTTACTATGCATTGGTCTATCCATACCTTACATACGGAAATCTAGTTTGGGGTAATACATATCCAACAAGATTACAGAATTTATTAAAGATACAAAAGAAAATTGTCCGGCTAATGTGTTTTAAATCTTATACAGATCATTCAGAATCTTTATTTTTTAATCTTAAAATCTTGAATATCTACAAAATTAATGACCATCTTTGCAGTCTATTTATGTATGGCTGCATGAATTATGATCAAAATTTGCCAAACCTGTCATTTTATTCAAAATAAAGAATTGCATAATTATAATACGCGAAACTCTTCAAAATTACACGTTAGTTACAAAAGGACGAACTATCGTGTTCACACTGTTTTTAACAAGGGAATTTCGGTATGGAATTGCCTTGATGAAGAAATTAAAAATCAAAAATCGTATTTTTCCTTTAAGAAAAAAGCAAAATTAAATTACTTGTTAACATATTAAATATTGTTAGCTAAAACATGTATTATATATATTGAATCAATTTAGATTCATGTACTTTATTTTAATCAAAACAATATAGGGGTCTTATATCAAAAGTCCAACAGGATTTCAAAAGGTCCCTTGCTCCTTTATATTATTGTATTTTAACTATATATATCCATTGTAAATATTTTTGTGGGCAAATATATTCTATTCTATTTTATTCTATTCTAAATTAATATTCTCCCAGGCATTACTTATTAATGTCGGTCAGTTTAAATCTTTAATTGCCTCCAAAATGAAGAGTAAATTATTTACAAAAGAATTTAAACTAGGTATTATAAAATTTACAAATTGATAAGATTAATGGTTAAATTATAATATGCTAATATAACTATCTAATCACAAACGGATCAAAGACCGAGTTTTGGACACAGTACGAAATGTACATCGCGCATTTTAACTTAAAGTCGTCACTAAAACTGTCATTACTTCTACTTTAAACTGAGTAGTCCCCCAATAAGGTTCTGATAAAACTCTGATCATCCAAGAAATGTAAATTCATACATGTTCTAACTGGAAGATGATCTTGTATCCAAGACCACCAGCTTTCTCTAACTTCTGTCTTTCTGCATGATGAACAGCATTATTATAAAGTCCCTGACATGCTGAACATATTCCGTTTAACGTTCCAGGATTTCCAAATCTCTCCTTATTTACAGTCAAGGAGCCACACAGAAGTCGAAGAATATCTGTTATCTGCTTTGATTGTCCGTACTTCCACAGATCATACCAGATGCTCAAAGATATACAAGGTTGACTCCAGAGATAGAATTCAAGTTCTTTTTTCCTTTCAATTTTATCCACCCATTCATAATGATCACTTTCATACACTGCTTTTTTGACAATATTCTTCCAAATAATTTTTGCTGGGAATTCGTCATTTCTTAGAAATTCAGTAACATATCCGAGTAATTTTACATCAACCAACAACTTCATAATATCAGGGATAAACCCTGACATTGTTGAATTGCTCTGGCTCCATTTCCATTTAATAAGTTTCCGGATAAACAACTTTCTATACGCCAATGAAGAGCTAGAGTTAATAATTCTGCCCAATAAATACAGTTTTCGTTTGCCAATTTCAGCCTTTATGCTATGTAAACCCAGTAGACCCCTGGCAGCCGATCCTGAGGAACCCGGTATCAGACACTGAGTAACTCTACAAAACACGTTCAGGACCCTTTCCAGTTCTTTGATGTGTTGGTTTTTCAGGTACCACAGATCGCAACCGTATAGTATATGTGGAAGAGCCACAGTTTCCCACAAATGGGCGGCTATTTTGGATTCAATCCACCAGCTTTGCATCCGAGCTTTGATAACTTAGATATTACATCAAAACCTTTGTTCATTGTTGCACGCACAACTTCGGTAAAATCCGGATCAGCATGCCATAATTTGCCAAGATTTTTCCAAGTGTCGGATTCCCTTAAAGGAGAATCACCCAATAACCATGTTCTCTCTGAGCCAATGCTGGATATGATTTTTTCCCCGAATACCATTATTACAGTCTTGTTAATATTTAATTCAATCCGCCACTTAATCGCATAGTTGTGAAGACAACACAGAAGCCGATCTAAGCTTTTTTTCACTCTTGACAAGAGGGTCAGATCATCAGCGAACATTGGTGATCCAAAATGTTTATTGTATAAAAATAAACTCCAACCGGTGTTTTCTAATTCATAAATTAAGTCGTTGATATATACCAAGAAAAGCCAGGGGGAAAGGATACCACCCTGCCGTGTTCCTTGCCTCAGATTATAAATCCTTGAATAAGCACCATTTATGTGGACGAGCTCGCTCATATTCGAATACCAACTTCTGATGATCCTCCAACATTTACCTTTTATTCCAGCTTTATGAAACAGTTTATACAGCATCGCATCAATCCACATTTTGTCGAACGCTTTTCGAATATCCACGAAACACGCATACACGCAATCTCCCTCATCACAACAGCTTTTAATAGATTCATCGATCATAAAAGCTGTAGTTAATGCGTCTTGTTCTTTTTGGTAAGCTCCCTGGAGACTATGGATTTGTGTTGGAGGAAGCGATTGTATTCTGTTCAGAATGATTCTTTGTAATATTTTGTCGAAGGCAGGGAGAAGACTTATGCCCCTATGATCATCAAAACCACTGTTCTTAGCGTTGTGACTCTTTGGTATTGGTATTTTTATTGCAATTTTGAAGCTGGCTGGGATCTTTTCTTCCGTAATTATCATATTAAATAATGACAACATATTACTTAGCAGAGTACCACCACCAATCTTAACGTGTTCATAACAAACTCCATCTAATCCAGGAGCTTTTCCATTTGGTAGATTTTTAACTACTTCCTTAAGCTCTTCCATTGAGATTGGTCTATCTATATATACTTCATGTTCGTTGTCACGCCCAGCAATGGATATTACTTCTCTCTTAACATCATTTATCGCTTCCGCGGTAGCAAGCAATGCATAAAACCTAAACTTTAGCGGCAATTTATCAGCCTGATGAGCTCCGTTTTCTGTGCGAAGGACTGCATGCAAAATATCAATGACAGTACACCGTTCTGGATAAAATAATGGCAATGTGCAGGAGCACAATGCCGATTTAATGATTAACACAAAAATAACAAATTACAGATAAATGTTACAAATTTAGTATTCATGCATAGCACAGATAAGGTGGGGTGTTAAAAAACGCCCCATATACAAAAACCGCCGGTAACATGTATCGTAGGACGCAAAATGAGGCAAGCGATGGCGGGAGGGAAAGGAAGACTTGTGAGGACTTGAAAACTTGCCTTGCGAAGCCAAATGTGAATGATCTTGAGCTGTTAACGCTCAACGTTTCTATATAATAGGCCCAAGATGCACGTGAAGCGTGACACGGAAATTCACTGATGTGTTGCAAAATTCCACGGGAAATAAAACTGGTTGAACGAGTTTCCCTGCGACGTTCCCTCCATAACATCCATTTTGCGTGCTACCCCGAATCCCTAAATATCCCTACAAAATTCCCACGGAAGCAATAAATTGATTATTCGCTGAAGCAAATAACTCCTTTATCGCTTCCGCGGTAGCAAGCAATGCATAAAACCTAAACTTTAGCGGCAATTTATCAGCCTGATGAGCTCCGTTTTCTGTGCGAAGGACTGCATGCAAAAAATCAATGACAGTACACCGTTCTGGATAAAATAATGGCAATGTGCAGGAGCACAATGCCGATTTAATGATTAACACAAAAATAACAAATTACAGATAAATGTTACAAATTTAGTATTCATGCATAGCACAGAAAAGGTGGGGTGTTAAAAAACGCCACAAGCCGACTAGAAGGTAGCCTGCTCACAGGCTCTATTATATAGAGCCTGCGACTTTTATTGATATTTTTTCAATACGCCCCCTTTGAGATAATTGAATATCCGGTAAATAGTAGCCAATCAAAGCAAGTTTTGTTAATTAGATTACCAGAGGTTATTAACAACAACAAACAGTTTCTTGCGCAATTTTACGCCTGTATCTTTCACTAGGATTCCAAGGTCTAAACTTTAATCTAAAATAATTCATGGTCGTTTTTTCCCTAAAGTGTTCTAATATTTAAAACATAGTCCCGTTTGTATATTGCTGTCTTGTTCGTACATTGCCGTTTTAAATTATGTAACTATACTACAGAGACGTAAATTTTACTCTCTATTAGTTAATGTATTTTATATATTTATATCCAAAATATAACTGTAAGATTTAAGGAAACGTATTTAGGTTTTGAACAAAGTAACAAACACTATTTATTAAAAGTGTCGAACAATAGCAAGCTAAAAAACAACATTAATCATTATTGCGTGAAGTCTGTCATTTGCTCAATAATACAATTAACTCAATAGACAATAGACAATTTGAAAACCCGTGGCCGTGGCATAGATTCTGCCGTGTTTAATAACTACATTTTTTTTGTAAAAAGCTCTTGTTGTAATAATATATGTCACTAGTTGAGACTCCCAAAAATAAAGTCTCAAAGAGAGAGCGGACTTCGGTCAAAAAACACGCAAACGACTATTGCAAAATTTCCAGGTGTAAATTCAAATTGGCCAGGTGTTCTAAGAACGACTTTCCTCGACGGCGTCTGTTTTAATAATTTGCCCATTGTCTTGACTTATTCAAGACCAGATTGTTTAGGCAGAAAGCCTTGGGTTGACAGGGAAGTATTTGGGAGAAATGTTCGGAGGCATTTGACAATCAACTGCTTTATACTAGCTGATTCACTGCCTGTGTCTCAACGAACGTCTCGCTGGGCTAACCTTAAGTTGTTCAACGTTTGAAACCGCAAGTGATGCAAACGCGGTTAGATAAATTGTCAGCCTGAACTAGACTTATTTTACTCTCTCTGCAAAGATCAGCAAGGCATACGTCGAAGTTTTCCCTTGTACTTCTTTGGAAAAGGTTTATTATTATAGCTGACGAAGACAAAGTATCGGTATATTACATGTAAACTTTTATCAAATCCCGTTGGAAGTACAGTTAATATTGCTAACCTTCGCTCATCCTTCAACGTTAATTTAAATTGAAAGGTTTCTCAAATACATTCAGTTACTTCTTCGAAGAGATAAACAAAGTCATGGTTTTATACGCCACTGATTGAATGCCAGCATTAAAATTACATTGCGAAATGTCGTACGAGTTAAATATTTGCACGATATTAACTCATGGGGCACTTCTGACCAATGGGAATTTTGCGTACGCTCCGTACGCATAAATCGACTTTTTACTAATAAAGGTCGCAGGCCGTACCTCCAATGCAGCCTCTGCCTGACAACGGCCTGCGAGCAGGCTAACTAGAAGGAGGCACCCCACCCCATCAGGCAGAGAAATCGCCGCCAGAGCCGATAGACTAGAAAGCAAGACAAACGGCCACTCATGACATCCAAAATAATCAGCGAAGTCGCATAAGAATGTAACCTAAAATACCACTACTGGACGTATAAATTTAATAATAGACGTATGGCACTGACAGTAAATTAGAACTCTGAAGCCGACCATGAACCTAGCCCCTGCATCAGCACACGGATGGGCAACAAAGTACATTATAAAACCTACACAAGCTGAAACCATGAAACCTTAACAAAGTCTCGCCAGCCTAGCCCCTGCATCAGCTAGACGAGTGTTATCACGCGTTAAATGTGCTGTTGATTAACGAGACATATATTTGTGGCCTACTATTAACCGTTTGCCTCACCAATACAAGAATGCAGCCACCGTCAGTCGCAGTTAAGACGAAACCGAACTTAAGCTTGGTATGCGAATATACTTGAGGAATGCATCGGATCGCCAGCGCCCCATAGCACGAATCTGGGCATCAGAGAAACCGCACTCTGCCGCAAAAGTGGCTGCGCCAATACGGAAACTGTGGCCTTTATACTTCATGGTATCAAGACCACAGCCGCGAAAAAGCATTGATAAAAACTTAGTAAATAACGTGCGAGGCACGGCGGAACCCAAAGGCATCCTGAACAGCGGACCATCGGTTAAGCCTCGAACTGATAAATACTCTAATAAGTTCTGAACAGGGCATATGTCAGAACGCCGAGACAATGTCAGTACAACAGGGCGCTGGTTATAAGAATGTTTGAAATCGTGAAAAGTAATCTTAAGGCCCGCGATGAAACCCGAGGGTTCTACCATCTTAACAACCTGGTCTATATGGAGAACTGATGGAGAACGAGAGCAAACGGTAATTTCGCCAATGCGCAGAAACGCAAAAAATGCAGTAGAGCACATAGTCGTAAAGAGATGCGTCTCGTAAGCACTAGAACACAGCGCGGGAACCTGCCTCAGAATATTCCGAAGAATAGACAAAGTAATAGGCAATCGAGTATCAATTTGCGCTCCTAACTTTTTATAGCCTTTCAGCATTTCTAACACCCAAAAAACCTTCGTGGGGTCTGGGTACCCGGCCAGGCGTTGGCTATAGCCAAGAGCAGATACGTATGTGAGGGCTGTAGATGATGCATACTGATTTTGAAACATGTAGGCGATAAATAAACTTAAATCCGTAGGTGTAAGCGGAAGTGAAACCACTGCTGAATGCATCATCTGGTGGGAAAACCGTTCGTATAATTGCCAAGCTCGACGGTACGTTGTGACTGATGATGGCTGCAAACTCGCTCGTAGCAGAGTAGAACTTATATCTGCCAACTGTGTGGAAGAAGCTGGGCGGGAATCACCGAGGGATAAATCTGCACGCCCGCCGGCGCCAGCTCGCGGAATTTCGAAACCTGTAAACGTGACAAAGCATCAGCCAAAGTATTTTTGGCACCTGGAACATGCTTAGCACGAAATAAAATGTTAAATTTCAAGCAAGCTAGAACCAGCCGACGGACAAATATCATGACAGTGGGATCCCGTGAAGTAGTCTTATTTATGATCTCGACCAATGCTGCATTGTCCGTGTAAAATAGTATGCGGTGGTTTCGCATGAGATGACCCCATAAGTGAACACTGAGAACAATTGGAAAAAACTCTAAAACAACAATGTTGAGCTTTTTCCATTCCTCAGGCCAAGGCCCATAAAACCAAAGGTATGCCAAATATAGCCCCAAAGCCATAACCCACAGCGGCATCAGTATACAAATTCAAAAGGTTGGAAGGGAGCCAATCATCGGAAAGAAAAAACGACCGGCCATTGAAATCATCCAGAAAGGATTTCCAAAGGCCTAAATTTGCTTTAACTGACCTTGTTAGACGAATACGATAAAAGGGGGCATTAACACCTTTAGTTAAATCAATGAGACGCCGCAGAAAAGCCCGACCCGGTGGTACGACAGTACAAGCGAAATTAAGCGGACCAATCAAAGATTGAACCTCTTTTAAGGTTGCCTTTCGACGGCAAAGAAATTTGGAAAGAATACTGCGCGTTTTCAATATTTTGTCAGCTGGTAAACGAGCCTCCATTGTATTCGTGTCTAACTCGATGCCAGCAAAAGTCAAAATTGTGGAAGGGCCGATCGTTTTCTCAGGAGCAATTGGCACCCCCAAATACTCGCACAGGGACAAAAAAACCCTCAAGGCAGTGCAACATTGGTCGTACGATGTGCCTGCCATTAGGTAGTCATCAAGGATATGAATGAGATGTGGAATGTTACACCGAGTTTTAGCAACCCACTCAAGAGCAGTGCTAAACATTTCGAATGTGCGGCAGGAAGATGCACACCCCATGGGCATGGCTTTATCATAATAATACCTGCCACATGATACCTAACAGAGGGTAATCCGCTGGACGAATGGGAATAATGCGAAAAGCACTCTTTATGTCCGTTTTAGCTAAAAAACAGCCTCTGCCTAATTTTTTTATAATGGCAATTGCATCATCCACACGACTATAAGAAACAGTAGTGTGTTCAGGCGAAATGCCATCATTGATGGACGCCCCTCGTGGAAAGGATAAGTGGTGAATAAGCCGAAACTCGCCTGGAACCTTCTTAGGCACAACCCCCAAAGGAGAAACACGGAAATTGAAAAAGGGGTGGGTGGGAAAAAGGGCCTACAATGCGACCCGCCACAATTTCTTTCGCAAGTTTAGCACTGACAACTGCAGGGTTTTGATTTGCCGAAATCAAGTTTTTAGAACAAAAAGAGGTGTGACCACCTTCAAAGTGAAGAGGAAACCCATAGGTAAAACCCTCAAACAACATTAAAACAACTTTGACAACATATCCTTGTAACAAAGGCAAAAGGCGATCAATTTTTATTGGGGTTGGAAGTGCGCACACCCGCTGCTGGTTTTGTAATGGTGGTTCTGCCTGAGGGACGAAAATTACAGCGTTTAGCGGAGTGTGCAGCTCCACACTTAAAACAGGTATGCTTGTAAGAACAACCTGTGCACTTAACCCCCTTGCGGAATGCACGGCAGAAACCAATTGGGACAAATGGACCCAACTGCGAGGTACGACCAGAAGGCTGTGCAATATTTGGCCGAGCTGGAGCAATATGTGCAAAACTCTGTGCACGAATCCACAACTCAAAATGAGTTGTGCCCCAAGGCATTTCATGTGCTCTTGTTTGTCGTAGTGATCGAAATTGAGTGTCATAAAATCTCCAATTCGCTCCTCGTGCAGCCAAATCTCGCACAACCTCCGCATATTTCATTAAATCGGGAGCCTCTTGAGGAAATTTACTGGTGTAAACCCCAACAAAAATCTGGAAGGCTGATGTCCACGCATCAATACTGTAGATGGGTTTAATCTTAGAGGATGGCTCTAATGAAAGTGTTGGCACCGAACTTTCACTCCGTGCCAGTGAAAGCTGATATCTTGTTTCACCCACATAGGGGTTCAATAGTG